TGTCTGATATCCCCAGAGAGGGTGAGAATAATCTGATGATCACCATCATCCTGCAGTTGATAGACCCTCAAGGCTCTTGTCCTCACAGCAATCAGCGTTCTGCTGCGAAATAAAATTCTCAATGATCCACCGGCTTTCTCATCAACAAGAATTTCACACAACAGGGCCCTTCAGTACGCAAGGCAGGAAAGTGGAAAAGTATTAATTGAAAAATGGAAACAAAAAAGTGGAAAATTCAAATATTCAAACTAATTATAATAAAGAACTAACCCGGGCATTTCTTCCAGAAATGATACGTGAGAATCTTTCCTCCTTTGATGCACAGTCTATAATGGTTACATAATGCATGACTGAACACATTCAGATCGTGTTCTGAAATAGTCTCTCCAAAATGCCTGACAACACAAGGTAATTACACCATCTTCTTGTGAATTGATTAGCTTCAAGAGTCCATTAGCGTGGTCACACCAAATGTTTTCAGGAATATCGATCATCACATCAGGCTAAACTTCATCAACCTAGGCTCCGAATCCGACCACAAGACATGGCAATACAATAACCAGTATGGGGCTTCTTTTTTCTCCTAATTAATCGTTTATCTTCTGTCTGGGAAAGTCAGCTATCCATTAAAATCCCGATGTCACAAAACAATGATTCATTTAGGCGCTTCAGCTCTTCCCAGACAGCCATGCATAAGTTTTCAACCAGTCCACTGGGACGGAGCACATGAAAACACGGATTTCTAATGGAGAAACAAACAAAATAACTGGGGACTCATTTGGTACACCCACACCAAACCTATGTTTGCATAAACTTCACTGGGATGAACAAACAAAAGCTATATTTGGAGGCAGAAGTAGGTCAGCGAAAGAAGAAGGCGGGCTTGCAGCAATTCGACAACTCTAACAATTAGCTAGAACATACAATTACACCCTATTTTAGGTCAACGTTAAGCCAGTATTTGTGACAATATGGTCCTAGACTGAGTGAGCACACACACATGTTCAAATTACCCTGAAGATTCCTACAGGAACCCCAAAAGGCTAAGGACTTTTGAAATAAGTCCATGGTGCCACATGAATTTAACATATTGATCCCCAAGAATACAAGTCTCCAGCTCTGTAATCACAAATACTCTGTGATGAGAAAGCCATACAAAAATGAAAGGTTTGATTTTACCGACTGGCAGTTTCAGTCACACAATGTAAAGATGGAAGGTGGAATAGTGAATGTGTGTGTATTGTATATGTATGTGGGGGGAGGGATGTATTATTTTGAAGAAAAAACATTTCCTGTGCAACTTTCTCTTCATTTTGGTGCTCAAGATCACAGTTATGGTACTGTACTTCGGAGAGGGTGCAAGGAGAGGGTGCAAGGACACAGGATTGTACCAGGATTTCTAAATGAACAAAGCAAAGAGCTTCCACTGTAAGGCCTTAATACATACAGTACATAACTACAGACCAGACACAATACCAGGCCAGGGCCATGGAACACTCTGCAGTGTCTCAACCTGATCAGGCATCTGTCTCATTGTGCAGCACCACTGAATCAGGTGCAGAACTCTCTGTCAGGGTGTGACGTTAGGACATAAAGGCCCGACACACTGTGCTGCTGACTGGACAGGTGCTCCTGAGTACCAGGTGAAGTAGTTGGTGCAGCCCCTCCTACCTGTCTCACCGCAAAACTCATCTGCCAGAGGTAGACCATGCTTTACAAATGGCTCTTAAGGAATCTAAATGAAAACTTTTAAATCAAAAATCATTTTTAAGAAGATGAACTGACTCTTAGACATTTCTCTCCCTGCAGTGAACACTTTTCAACTGAAGCTATCACCAGAATCACAATCCTAACGCTTGGGTTACTTCCAGAATGTAGCTAATTCTCTATATACTGTAGTACGTTATTTGTGTGTATAATTGGTAGCAGTATAATTTATAAGGGTATATTTATATGCTAATCATTCCAAATATTTAATCATCTGGCCGTCTCCTTAAGGATAAATTATAACAACCTGGCTGATCAGCTTAATCCAGACCCCCACAACTCTTTATGTAAAGATATGTTCTATCATTTAAGACCTAAATGCCTACTCTATTAATTTAGTTCTGTGCCTCTGAACAGGTTACAGAAACTAAAGTCACCACCATGTAATTTTTCAATGGCAGAGGATTCAGTGGTCATGGAGTGGTGGGGTTCGGTAGTGTATGGGTACAGGAGCTGTGTGCTCTGAACCAGGGAGAGACCAGGATCAAGTACTGAAAAAACAAACATGTTGAAACAGCTGAGCTTCGGATTGTCACAGTGAAACCAAGGATTCCTCAGTTTCCAAATGCAAAAATACAATTAAAAAGAAGGAACACCAAAAGTCCCAACGTACAGTACAGTACATACAGCAGGAGGGAAGTGTTCTATTCTGAGCCCAGAACAATTAAAGCGTTTTCTGAAGCAGAAGCGAGATAATGAGCAGGCTGGGTACCATTTCACTTCACACTCCACTGTACATTTGTAAGTTGCTTTTAAGAAATAAATATTTGCAGGGACTACAGCTAGACAGGGGAAGGATTGGGGGGTGGCGTCCCAGTTTTCTGTCACTAAGCACAAAAACACAACAAATCATCTTGGATAGCATCCCTCCCGTGTCTTCAGCTTGCTTCCGCTTTCTATCTCGTGCTTGGAGGGAGTCTCAGAAGCCAGCGACTTGCAGATGCTGTGCGTCAGCAGTTCGGCTCAAGAAGCTGACTTAATAGGTCTGAGCAGCAGTGGCCCGCACTATCAAACTCCCCGAAGTGTCTCTCTGTGTGCGTTTACTCATCCTTAGAGAGAACAATGAGGAAGGTTTCTGCGTGACTGCCTCCCCCACAAGATTTAATCCCGCTATCGCTATCGACTGCCTTTCACCCCCCCTCCTCCTCTCTCACCTCCGCACTCTCTTCTCCCCCGCAACCTTTTGCCAAGTACCTGGCAGCTTCTGTCCGATAGCAACTCAAGACTGTCCAATCCATACATCATCACCAGCAGAGTGATAATGTAGTTATTTCATGCTCTAGCAATGTGGCAATGATCATAGTGAAAAGGCTTAATTAGAGCCCAACCACATTAAACTCATCACTCCACCCCATAAAAGAAATAAACTGGGCCCTTTCCTACAACACTTCAATGGCACTTATTCCCCGTTAACACCATAACACTATAATACCTGTACAAAACAGATCCCGATTCTTGTATGTAAAGCACAAATGCACTGCTATTGCCCATATGGGTGTTAAATTAGTGTATTCGCGAGAACATCTTTTCGGCTGCTTCTTAGAATGAATGAGCTTCGGGGAGGCTCTACTGACAAATCAGATTAGCAAAGATCCTGGTTTGAGATAAAGTTACTAAATGGTCCTAGATATACTGCAAACACGTTAAAAAACAGTGAAACAGACACAAATACATGCTTCAGAAAGGTTATATAGTTAAAAGCAAGAATATTTTCTTTTACCCACCAGACTACTCAATATAAACCTTTCACCTGCTCTGCACTGACTAATCCACCCATTTTCTATTCCAGCAAGCAAAGGGCACAAGGTAAGGCAGACCTTGTATGAGACACCAGTCCATCGCTGGGCACACACAGGCACAAACACGCTACAGTACCAATCACACCAGCGCCAATTAACTTACGTATGTCTATGGACGTATGTCTGTGGACTGTGGGAGGAAACTGGAGCACCCACAGGAAACCCACACAACAGGGAAAACATTTACAAACCCCATGTTAATAGCACTTCAGGAACTGAACACAGGGCCCCAATACTGTGAGGCAGCAATGCTAACTACTGTGTCTGTGCCATGGGACTACACTGACCCATAATTTAAAACTGCCTAGTCTTGAATGGCTTACAGTCATGTACAGTAGTCTTGAGGATTTATGATTTTCATAATGTGGGCTGTTTGTGTAGGATTGTCCAAACTCTGGCTATCATCAGCCCATGTGCAGTAAACAGGACTCACGAACAACAATACATTCTTTCACAGTAGATTGCATAGATTGCAAGATTGCAATACACCTTCTCCAGGTACAGTGTTGAGGGATGATGAATCGTTGCACACTAAATTGCATGATAACTCAATCAGGGAAAGAAGACAATGTGCTCCATCTCTTCAATAACTGTGTCAGTGCACTGGTGTACAATGCAGAGTGATGGTAACACAAGCCAGCAAACTACAGCAAACCAAAGATCACTGCAGCTTAGCCCTCCTTTTAAAAAAACACCTTTCACAGGAGGCAGACAAGCAATACTGTGCAGCTTCCTAGAAAGCTTATTTCAAAAGCCCGGTGTCTAAAATGGAAACATGCAAGAGTTTTCCCGTTCAGACTCATCTGAAACATCTCCAGTTCCATCACCAATGTGGACAGGCACCATTTTGAAAAACAGTTCTTTAATGATCACATTGTTTTCTCATTCAAGAACAAACCAGTTGTGCAATAAACCCCAAACAGGCACAGAAGTTTAACATGTACAGTAGCAATCCATAGGATCTGATTGGTGCTTTCTCTGTAGGACATCTTGCAATATTACAAAATGCCATTTTTAACAAAGGGCTTCCCAAAAGATACATGGTCACAGAACATTTTCTTTCAAGTTAACACTGCATGGCAAAACGATTTATTCTTTGATGCTCTGCACTTCCAGATCAATTCCCATTAAGCACAAACCTGAATGCATATATTAACGATCCTATTTTACATTTCCCCTCTTTCAAAATGGATTCACAGTGAGCGTTTTAACAGCACGTGGAATGCCGATGCAAACGTACTGTAGATTTTAAATAATCAATATACTGTACTCTTAACACTTCTCTGCTCGCATTGGTTGTGTGAGTGAGGTGGGGTCTTTGCCATACATCATTGGCAATAAATTCAGCCTGACTCCTCTTCTTCAATAGTTCAGCGACACAAACGACCTGATTCAGAAACAATGGCTGGGATAATGGCTGTCGATAAATCCTACCTCTTCGCCTGTCAGGTAGTATGCTGAAAGCAGTCCACCGACGTAACGGATGTTCACTTCAAACAAGGATGCTTCTCCATTCTGTAAGGGAAGAAAAAAGAAGAATAAATTCCTTTAGAAGTAATTATTTTGCCTGGCTTACACATTTATACACCATGCTGCTATTGCCTTAGGAACTAATTTTCAAAACTGTGTTGTATTTGTTTTTTGTATGCAGTGCTCTCTGTAGTTCCAACACTGGTCCATACCTGGTGAAGCAAATTGTCTCTCACTGGAGGGTTCCCAGTACCCTGGCTCACCACACACACATTGGAATTACTACAGCATCTGCTTTGAGCACGATTTAGGACACTGCTACACATTTTCAAGACCTACTGTAACCTCACCCATGCCACACTTTGTTCATCTGAAACCAGGACACTTCAGCAAGAAACTAGCTGATTTCTCTCAATTTCCTTGATCACGGTGAATACGTATAATTATAATTAAAACAGCCCACTTTACAAATGGTAAAGTTATATTTATGGAACAAGTAATGGGTTTATTCCATGCTGAAAAGAGAAGAAAGAAAATACAATGTTTCGGCCGTGGAGCCTTCTTCGGGTGGCACCATTACAGTACGTTAATGTCAGTTTCATCAGTGCAATCTTTCATATTGATACAATTTCATTTTGGTTAAATACAGGAAAATCCAATCTTTAGGGCAGTCTTTTCAATTCCTTCTTTCAGCCATTCAAATAAATTTACAACCCATCTATGTTGACACATCTGAAACAGGAGCAGAGAGTAGTAGACTATTATCATTGATTATCATTGGATCTGGTTTTGTCCTGATATTTCTAAAAAAAGAACAACTTTGTGGAGAAATTACTTTTAACATTTTGATAATGATACAGTAGTAAATCTATAACAGACATGTGATGGCATTTGTTTAGGCTGTATGCCAGAAAACTGTTCTATTAGCAAAAACATTTAACACTTCGTCTTTAAGTGGTACAACAAAGTGTAACGTTTCCTCACAAGTGCTTTCTTTGTGCTGCGCTTTACTGGTGTAATCCCACTTTTATGAACCTGGGCTAGAACGTAATCTTCACTTAAAACACAAAATGTTGGTGGAGTAGGATTTCTGAATCTGAGAAACCCATTGCAACACAAATGAACACCTTTAGACAAGTTTCACTGTTCCAAACTACTGTATTTTTGTAGAATTCCTTTAGATTTAAAATGAAATTGCAGGTCAGTCGATATATTCAACTCAAAGTTCAAAGGGTGACGTTTCTACAATATTTTAGGTGTGATAAACAGTGTTGACACAATTTGTCATGCCTAAGAGCCCTCAGAAGTTGTGAAGTGTATTACTGATTTAACGCAGGGGTTTATTCCTTGTTGAAAACTTTCACTTGTAGAATATTGTAGTCAAATGTAACAAACATAACAGTCCCACTGTTACTGAGCTGCAAAGTCCTTGTGATCGTTCAAGCCATGAATTAAATCTCCTTCTGTTTCACCTGATTTACCTCTAGTCTACCTTCTAGTGTTCTTGGACTGCAGATGAAAGTATGTCTCGTTATGAACCATTATGAATGATCACATGCCTGTAATTTGCACAAGTGGTTGTAAAGGAATGCACATGTTCTGGGGCAGTGTTTATGGTGATATGAAACACTGCAAAAAATATAAATATTTCAAAGGTAGTGTCAGCATCAGCCATGTGCCTGATGCTTGCCAGGACAGACTCTGACTCCCCCTCAACCCTGTATTGGAAGAAGCAGTTATAAAATGGGTGGATAGTATCAGCATCAACACAATCTTGGCAGTGTTGTTGTGTTGTGAGATGTTCTGCCACTCTTCCTGTGTAGCTGCAGCTTACTGGCGAAGGTTGGACAATTACAGCTGTCTCCAGAAATGACTATGTATGTTCCCCAAAGCTCTGCTGATGTAAAACAGAAACTGGTTGTGCTTTCATGGTGCATCAGCATAGCAGAATGACTCCAAAATATTTGGCAACAAGCACTGTGCGGGCCAGTATCAACCAAGAGAGGAGAACTGGATCTAGCACAGCTACAGTCGCTGCAGATTCAGAAGGGCCAAGCATGATTTGTTTAAAAAAAAAAACACACAAACCTTTTCAGCAAAGTTCGTGGATGAGAGAAAAAATGTTAAGAAATGTACTGTATTAGTGTTCACTTCTGGAGTTGTTAGGTGGACAATTTGGATGGGAACCTCAGACAGGCTGGTACTGTGCAGGATGGAGGAAGTGTTGCACTGGAATGCCATCCATCCACTATTAAAAAATTAAGCCCCTTATTGCTGGTAAGGGTTGTGGCAACCTGGAGACAGAGATAGGGTAAAGGTGATACCACTCTTTGGGTTCAATGCAGGGTATACAGTACAAGCACTCACACAATTTAGAGACACCCGATGCCAGAGATGCCAATTAACCTGGCCAGCATGCCTAGGAGGAGACCAGAGCACCAGGAGAAAACCCATGCCAACACAGGAGGACATACAATCGCAGTTAGGATCTGAATACAGAACACCAGCACTGACAGGCAGCAGCACTAACTGCAATACCACCTTTTCATCGGATTTGTGTTTATTTGAAAGGTCTTGGATTTTTACAAAAAAGGAGATCACAAGTCAACCTTAAAGAGAAAAGCCAACATGCATGCTGTTACACCCTCAGAGGTCACCTCATCTCTCGCACATACAGTAAGTCGTATCCCAACAGCAAAGACTGCAAAGGAATTATTCTAATAAAAAGGAAGATTACAGTTATGGACTGGCTGCCGGAGCCCTCAGACACAAATCCTATCAGGATGTTGTGGGTAGACTTGAAATTTAATGCTGCAAAGAGGAAACCACAGCTGACTTCTGAATTCAAGACGCCATAGGTTGAAAAACTGGTAAAAATTTGTAGCAAAATTACATAACTTCAGGCTGTAAACTAATTTCTTTCATTTTATGCATTTTGTGCATGTTGTGAGATTTTTATATGCTTCAGCGAACCAAACATTATTTTTCAGAATTCTTTTCCTTTTGAGGTGAAAGTGAGACTTTTTTTGTGGTGCTTCACTTTAACTTAACTGTACTTTTGGCAGCGACTGTTCTAGATACAGAAATACCTCTTTGCCAAACAGTAATTATGAAGCGGGCTCAGGAAACACTATTCAATAAGAAAAGTCTGGAGCACAGTAGGAATTTGCTGCTACATTATTGGACTTCAAAAAAAAAACAACAAAATAATTGTTTGTTCCGAGTTATTAAACGGTCTGCCACAGTGTGTGAAATCAAACAGTATGACTCAGGGCAGAGAGCAAAATAAACTTCAAAAGATCTGTAATTCTTTTGGGCATGACTGGGTGTTTGTTTTCTAAGGTGCGCAAGTAGTAATGAAGAGGAAAAAAAAAAATTTTATTCCTCTCCTCACCACACAGTGGACACGTTTCCACAGCAACACCACCAAGGGAAGAAGTTCTTTCCGCTGTCAGTTGAAATATTTAGCAGTCAGACCCTTTTATTCCATGTTTTTGAGTTGCCACAGCAGAAAAATGAGAAGGCCAATATTGTGTCTGTGAAGCCTCATCCCACTTAAGACCCATATTTAGGGGGGGAGGGTTAAAAAATTAATATAAAGCAAGAACTCTGAAAACTGGATTGGACTGATAAATCCTGTGTTATTTTTTTTTCATTGAGAACCCCTAAGATAGCATTTGAGTACTCTGAACAAAATTGTTTAAAGCATAATAGGCCCAATTAAATCCATTCACTATCAACAAAGCCATGATTTATCTGTGAACTGGACTCTAAATAATACAATTTCAAATGGGAAATTAAGAAGCTAAAGGGGCGTGAAAGAGATACAGAATGTTGTCATAATGACTGCCTATCAAAGACAGTGTAGGCTGAGGGTTGTAGGACTAACTGGCCTACTGGTCTGGAATTGTACAGCTACAGCTCTGAAGTGTCCAAACAATGCACCTGGATGTTCACTTAAGTGTACAAATCACAATCCTCTTTATAAGATGTCTCTTTATAGCCATCCCCTTGTCTTTCAACACCCTACTACTGTATACAGTATTTGCTTTTCTTCCAAAAAACAAATTTCCACCTTACAATTCTTTCACATCTCTTCCAGTTGACGATTGATCATTGTTAACTAACTAATAGGACATCTGTCTTTGATATCACTGTATCACAATGGGGGAAAACTGTGGATATTTCCCTCCACGATGCATTTCCCTTGACATTTCCCACACTGCTTTCTAGTAGACTTCACACTGACTGGATGAGTGATGTGACCCTCACTGACAACTCTGCATGCTCCCTGGTGCCCAGGCTCTCTGTCCTGTCATCGATCCACTCTTAAAGTATACCCAGGGCAAATCAAGCTGACCCAAGAGGAATGCACTCTATTGCAGACTCCTGCTCGGGGAATCACAGTTCTGACTGACCATTCGCATACAGTACATTACTAGAACACTAAAGAGGGTCTGCTGTCCAAGCCCTCCTGGAATCATCTTTGCAATTCTCTGTGCACCTGTATTACAAACACCGGCTGTCACAGGCCTCATTGAGCACATAGGCCCACGCTAAGTTGTTGGTGTTAGTTCTGTTTTGTGCTAGGTGTTGGGTTGCAGTCTTGACATTTGCATTAAGTCACAAAGAAAAAGCAAAAAAACTACATTTTTTTAAATTGACATTTACTGAGAGACCATTCATTTCAAATGAGGTAAAGTCAGTTTAATATTTAGCGTGTTCTGCATGGGTGGCAATATCACAATTGTAAGCGCAATATTGTGCCTGGAGCTCCTCAGAGCATTGCTGTAAGGAGAGATCTCCTAATTGTGGTTTAGCAGGAGCATTGATGACTGTTGCAAAGATAGGTTAGGCAATATTCAGAATGAAAGAAAATTAAAAGTCCTGTCCACATTAAATATATCCTAGCATTATTCTTTGCGAATTCTTTCAAGCTCCATGAACCACCTCCAGGTAAAGTGCACATAAGCAAGTACTATGTACTGCAAGAAACTGATGATTAAAGCTGAGATGAACAGAAATGCTTGGAAAGTTGACATTAAACAATTTTCTTGACCACATTGCAGTTCAAAGAGCCTACACTTTTATACTGCACAAACAGGCACGGACTGGTCGCTTTCATTACACATTGAGTCAAGCTCTTTTCAACTACCCAGTGATAACCAGATGCATTTCACTTTGATCTGGATTCATGTAAATAGATAACAATGATTAATTGGAGCCGGAGGTATCGCTTCGCTAATTAATTTTTTAATGCCACTGGCAGATTAGTGCAGTATCCAGTTATGCAGCTGTGTAAGCAACATAACAAATACGCAAAACTAAATATCACTCTGTTCCCTTTCTGCTGACACGAAATGACAGAGCTTCAGATAGAGTACCTGTGCAATTTAAAAGTGGGAGTAATTTTCAATTGAAAAATGCAAGTCAAGACAGGAACATAAAATAATCACTGTGCAGTATATATTCAAAATCTGAAAATGATGCATAAATTCAGCTACTTCATCCAGATCTACTGATTAAATGAGTTTTGCTCATTCAAATGTGTTTGAATTTTAATCTCTTAAGCACAGCAATCCATATGCCATAAGCCATTGGCACCTTATTATAAGATTCCAAATTGAAAATTGTCTCCAAATCCTTGTAATGAGAATCAACATTTGGAAAAAAAAAAAATTCTACCTCCCTTTTTAAGTGTTATTGTTCCGATGGTCAATACCAGGGGATTAGTCTCTTCCCTATAGAACTTTTTTCTCTTGTTGAAAATCTGCCCACTCCCAGTTACCTACATATACGATAGAGAACTAAACATGCTGGGTAGCAGCTCATACTGGGAGGCAGCCAGGGTCTCCTACAATCACATAAGCCTGGGTTTTTCCTCTAAAAACACCAGCCATTTTAATCCTGCTCACACACTATACATATGTACACAGGTTCCGTGCGTGGGTTTAAATCTTACAAGAGCCAAGGTTTTTCCTAAATTAAAAAAAAAATCAAGCTTGATACTTATTTCAGTGTTTATGACTTTTGCGGGAGATGTACTCATCAGCTATCAAATATGTCATCCGGTCACTCTACTCTTTCCCTTTCCAAAGAAATTGCCATCACTCCAACCACAGCTGGAGGTACATCTCCTAACCATCATAAGTTTTGAATTCAAGTTACTGCATGATTTAATTTTGCTTAGATGAGGTACTGTAGATGCATTTGATTGCTATTTATTTAGTTTTCCTTTGCTATACTCACCTCATTTGTAATAGCTAATTGTGTGTTTTTCACATGTCGTCTCTCAGCTATGAACGACTACCTGAACACAGGGGGGAATGAGAAATCAAAACCATTATCCTCAGACCTGCCCACCTTCCCTTGGATTATCATTTACCATGCCACGGGCAACACATGAAGGGTCTCTGTGCCTCTGAAAGAGCCCTGTCTAATCCCACCCTCCCCCTCAGAGGCACTCAGCCAATCGTGCACTGCATCCGCGAGAATCTCAGTCACAGTCCGCTAGTGTGACATGGCCCAGACTCAAACTCGGAATCAGAGCCCCACCTGCGTTTGTACAAATTCTATTCTGTATCAGGCCAACTGATGCATTTAATTACAGCCAAGGCTGTATCTCAGAACAAATGCTTAGAATCTTTCGGGCTGTTTCTTGTCTTGGTCGGTGAGGGTCTGTCCACTGCTGAAACCACACCAGTCTCCTGCTCTGTAATCTTCCTGCTGCCAGACCACCTCATATGGCCCCAATCTGGCTGCGCTTTTGATATGGGAAATCTCAAAAAAGAACTTGAACGACTTGAATCAAATCGACTTGAACATCATGCTTTGGATCAGAGGAGAACTCAACCATCTAGCAGCCTCCAGAAATAAAAAGATTAAGAAGTCCTCCAGGGCCTTGGATCATCTAGTGTGCCATGACAACAACTGCATGAAGTGCACTTTCTTAATGTGTTAATGTGATAAGAAAAATACATTGGTAAATAGTTGGCTGCCTAGAAAAGCAAAATTTAATTTATGGAGATCGATAGCTGCTTTCAAAGATAACAGTTAAAGTGCCATTAGGACCCACTTTGGGGGGAAGGAACAGCCTGTTTAATCATTCTTACCAAAACTGGCCTACAACACAACAGGGTACTATTAAGAACTTCCAGTCTCAAGCCTGAAAGAAACCTCTTAAATTCTGGAATAAACAATCCCACCTGAGTTGCAGAAAGTTGCAGCTTTCTGAACATAAAACACCTTTCAGCATGGGCGAGAGCATCTCTTAGAGTACATCGAATAAATAAAAATGTTTAAAAAAGGCATTTCCCTCAAGCATTCTCACAGACAAGAAAGTACCTTAATCGCTATGCTTTCAGGAGTGGTTTGGCTAAACAAGTAAATATATGTGTTGATTATCTTGGTGGCTGTGCCGATTTCAGGAAGATCACCCAATTAATGGAAACCTTTGCTTCTGTTTATATAAATGTGTTAAACTGTACTAGTTTTGCCACATACCTGTACTTACAGATACGAGAAAAAGTGTACTATAGGATCAAATTTGCTCTCTTCAATGAACTATGGAGAAATCAAAGGCTAATAATCAAATGTCATCTAGACATGAGCACTTTAATTAATCTTGAGAGACAAAACCTACATTTCTAACGAAGTTGAAGGTAGTTACAGTATTTGTTCCTCACAGGTTGCTTTGAAATTAACATTCAGATACCAGTTTCCAGTTCTACCTGGTTGTCAATTTGAGTTGGAGATTGATACAATTATCAAACCTAGCCACTGCACAGCCACACAAAAAATAACTGTGAGCT